GTGCATACATTTTTTGAGACAATCTGTATTTACCGGTCACGGAAAATTCAGCTACAATAAAACTGAATAAAATCAATTCCTCGTCTGTGGCCAACAAAGTCTGGGTGATAATGAGATCGGATTAGGAGGATCATCATGACGAAGAAGGGTGGCTATGGCCAAAATATGAAGTAGGTCGCATCAAGAAGTACTTCGACGATCTTTGGGATACAAATAGCCAGAACAGCCCTAAAGTAAAGTTTATAATAACCAGAAAATGTCAATAAGCAACAAGTATAACTAGTATCGGTATCAACTACAAATGAAAGTACACCAGATTGGAGAGGTGGCAGGCAAAATGAAAGAGGATATCAGACTTTTGTCAACACGCAAATCAAAAAGTTAATAAGAGGCAGGTGAATAGAAAAAACACAAAGAATGGCAAGATTCGTTTCATTTAGAAATATCCGATTCTTTTAAAGAAAGCAAGTATTTACATACAATAGGCTTGCCAACTTCACTGGAAATAGAGGAGGAAGGCCACCAGCCGACTAATCCAACGGTTCATGAATGGCCGAGAGTGAAACGGTTTTCTTAAAAAACATGCTATGAAGTGAGCAGCTTCTTGAGTCCAAAACGTAGATAGGGATTATGAAAACTGTTATACTTTCACCATAGTTGGAAGCCGACGTGGCTAATCGACTACCTATGTAAAGGGAACACTAAGTAAAACCATCACGGGAGACTTCCACTACGACTATAGTCTTATGATCTGGTAGCTTATCTATACCACCAGAGAATCTCAATACCGTTCAAAATGTATGACTCTGGAGCCGGCTCTAGAGCGAAATCGCGGTCTTGTCTCATTTATCTCGTCATTTCTGCAGGAATTTTTTTAACTAGGCGACTACCAGAGTGCTTCGCTTCGATTTTTACTACGTCAAACTAAGTACTACAACAGTCTCGGTTTTACTACATTGTAGGCTAATAAAAAGGAAATCAGGTCAAAGAAGACAAATACCTCGCGAACCACCAACGAAAGAGACAATGATCGCCTTTTCTGGCTTGGAGAGACAATTTGCGCCTTGAAACAGGTTTTGAACAAGAACACCTTGAGCCGGAGTAAGACGAACGTCATCCTGCATCTTCAAACTAGCAGAAGTAGAGCCGAGTACGTCCGCGGACGCTTCACCCTGAGTGGTACTAGAGGGGACGCTTGGGTGCAGAACCTGTTGCTGTTCTTGTTGTTGTTGTTGCTGCTGCTGCTGCTGATGTTGTTCCTGTTGTTGTTGTTGTTGCGCTTGTTGTTGTTGCTGAATAGGATCGGCCAATTTCGCCAGAGGTTTCACGGGTGGGATGGCAATTTTTCCCCTGGGAAGAATACACACTGGAGACACGTTATCCGATGCTGGTGCTGAAGCAAGTGGGGTTCGCGGGACGATCTTCACCAACTACAGCAAACCAAAAAGAAGTCATTACTCAAAATGTAATAGAATTGGCGATTGATAATGATACGAAACCTTGGTTGCAGTGCGTATAGAGACAACGGTGCTACTTCACGAAAAACAAGTTAGGATTTCTTAGTCGAAAAAGACGACGGAGTAATGGACTAACAATGAGTGAGTGGATATAGCTTTAGTACAGTAGTCGCCGGTTATTTAGCCCAGGGTTAATAGGCCCAGCTGCGTATTAAGCCCAAATCAGCTTGGGACGGAATTT